AATTTTGCCAGTGTCTTCCCTGACCAGGTGCCACCTCAGAACCGCGACACCAACCCTCACGCACATCTGGGCCCCACGCACGACCACGTGGAAGTTCTGACAGAAAAAACATTCAGGAACCAGAAAATCTAGGAGGCTGAAATTTTCAAAGTATATTCTCTGTTCAAATAGAACTCAAAGATTTCAAATTCAACCCCTAGGTGTGTGTGTGTTTATGTGTGTGTGCGTGTGTGCGTGTGGGCGTGTGTGTGCGTGCGTATGTGTGTGTGTGGTTCTCACGTATGGCTTAGAGAAAGTCTTTGACGGGGAAATCACCAACTCGGAAACCAGAAAAGCTGGGAGGCTGAAATTTTCAGGAGATCCTCCCAACCCCTCACAACTTAAAGATATCAAATTCAGCCTCGAGGATTGCGTGGTCCTCACCTACATCGCATAAAAATTTTTTGACGGGAAGAATCGCCAAATCCGGAACTAGAGAGGCTGGAAGGCTAGAATTCTGAAAGGATATTTCCCGTCCACGTGGAATTCAAAGATTTCAAGTTCAGTTCCCAGGTGTACGTGGTTCTCGCTTATGGCCTCGCGAAAGTTTTTGGCAGGAATATTGCTATCTCGGGAATCAGAAAAGCTGGAAAGCTGAAGTTTTGACGAAATGTACCCTGCCCAAGTACCGCGCAGTTGCACAATTAACTTCCCGAACTTCGAGGACCAGTGTATCACAGTTTTTATCTGTTGATTTTCTGAGCGATCACATTAAAACACGAAATATTGCAAAAAAAAAGAACTGTTCGCACGGGTCCGCCTAGTACGCATCGACAATGATTTAATGAAATGTTTCACTTCTATATCGCCTGAAAAAGGTCGAGGGCTCGATCGCACCAGCCGAACAACCAATCTCTCTACGACAGGTTCATTCATTTTCATGCAAGTTAGTGCTGGCCATGTCGAAGAGTCAAAGCCAACATCAGCTCACTTCAAAGCAACGCTTGAAAGACAGAGCTATCGGCAACCTTGCCAGAGGATGGCTGCTGATGGCAAGCACAAACACTTCGTCTCTTCCGACTGCATTATCAAGAGTGACTAAGGAAAGATGAACTGTAGAGGTGTGCAACGTACTTGCATTGCTATCAGTTTCACTTGGACAACTGCTCAACTGGTAAAAAAATTTGTTGAGAAGTGAATGCGATAAGAAGTAGAGAAGAACAAGGTTAACCTTGCGAAGGGCAACATCATCCCAGTTGATACCGTCAAAAAAAGGATGCGATTTCATCTGCGCAAATGTCTTCATTCGTTTTTCGATATTTACATTCAGAAGCTGTAAAGCTCAACACAATATATGAGCACGCAGAGTTACTCTATATGCGAGATAATAAATTATGAAAGGTAAAAAAGTGCTGATCACCTGGTTAAAAAAATCACCAAGGGAGCGCTCGCAACACGGCGTACTGTAGCTGTCGTACCTGCAAAATAGATTATAAGAGATGCATAGATCATCGATCTGGATTCAAATGCAATATGAAGTTCAGTTATATCTCTGGTAAAAACTGTATACAACTTTATGGATAGAAACGTTTCTTTCCAGTTTCTCGAAAATTCTCTATTTTTTCTTTTATGCCACTCTATTTCCTTTGCCCCTTTTTTCAGTGTTATTTTCTTAAAGGAATTTATTTTAATTTTATAATAAAAAAGAGGCACAAAGCAGGCACAAGGGAAATAGTAGAAGAACAAACAAAGATTCGGAAAAATGATTCAAGAAAAGAGAAAATGGACGAGGGATAACAAAAAATGGAGATCTAAAGTTAAATGGCTACCTGAGCTCAGTGTGTGAAATGACCTCACAATTTGGATACGGATAACGATTTGTGTGTAGTACGTGAAGCAGCACACCGTAAGCCCACCAGTCCACTTCTTGACCATAACATGTTTCTTTGGCTATTTCCGGAGCCATATACTAAATACGAAGTGTATCAAATTGAGTTAGGCACTGAATCTACCTGTTTCTTTTTCCGCTGGCTTATCTGGGAGCCATATTACAAACTCAATCCAAGCTAGAATGCACCAGGTTTGCCGGTGCGATCACGCGTTTTCGCAGTGTTGTGTCCGTTGCAACACACGTCGAGTTCGATTTTACTAGTACAACAGAAACACCAATACTTGTAGTTACGGAGCTTCGAGTCTAGGGTTCTTCGGTTGGGGCTGACCGGGGCTCCACGGTCAGAACGGTCCGCAAGGCCTTCACACTTCACGTTTCTTCGAGACACTATCGAGATTGCTCCTTTAGAAGATGTTGTCGCCTTGTGTCGACCATGCAGCTCTGTCGATAGCCAGCACACTGGCCTAAACTTCTCCAGTCGATTTATGCTCCGGATCCAGGTTCAGCACTCGAACGTTCTCGAAGGGGAGAGCAAGATCACTTGCTCCCAATACGCATCAAACTTACAGTAAGGTTGTTAACTGCATGAGTCGTTGTTGCTTTACACCTATCTTTTGCGTTCACTAGGATAAATCATCATAAATTTTGCACAAAAGAAATGAACAATTTCCGTTTGACGGCTATTCTTTGGAAATGTCCTAGCTGTTCAGTGAGAAATTTTCCCGATAAAACCTTTATTTGCCCGTACATGAGAAACACATATACCTGAATGCTGAATTTTATATGCTTAAGTTGTATTTGGGCAGGAGACACTCCCCAAAAATTTCAACTTTCTAGCTTTTATGGTTCTCGAGTTAGTAATTTTCTCGCCAAAACTTCCTCATTCTGTGCATTAGTATCACGCGTACCGGAGGGCTGAATTTGGAATCTTTAAGTTGTACTTAGGCAGGGAATATACCCTTAAAATTTCAGCGTTCCAACTTTTCTGGTTACCGAGTTGGCAATTTTCCCAACAAAACTTTCATGTGCCCATACATGAGAACCACGTATATCTAGGACTGAGTTTGAAATCTTTAGCTTGCTCATGCGTAGAGAATAATCCAGCAAAGTTTCAGCTCTCTGTCTTGTATGGTCCCTGAGATCGCTTTTTCGCCAAAAACTTGGATATCTTTTTAAGGCGCCATACATGGCAACCAGGCGTAAACCGGTGATGATATTAAAACGGGAGGGTTGCACATGGTGTAGTTTCGAGTTTCATCTTCCTAGTTTTTTTGATTCTCGAGTTGAAGGCGGGTAACAAAAAGTGGGTGCTCGTGAACACAGACAGACACACACAGCCTCTTGCCAATATGTGTTTTTGCACTTGCATATATGCAAAAATGTGTAAAAAGCGTCAATGAGGCAAAATTTTTCAAACATTTCTCAATCTGCAAAAAGCACCGGTTAATATTCACAGAAGTGTTAGATTTTGAGCTATTTGCGTAATGAAACTTGCAATTCCACTGCAATATCAGCTCTGCTAAATGGAAACGGAATATCAGGCTTGTTGAGAAGCTGAAACTAACAGGGACCCAAACAACTATTAAGATAAGTGTGGCAAGTATCAACTGTTGAAAGACGTTTCTAATGAAGCAAGGAGTGTGAGTGATGCTATCAGCGCAATGAGAAGCTAGGATGGCCACAGATAGTTAACATATAAATAAGGCGAATCAATGTGTGAGCCATTTCCAGTAGTTAGAAGGCTGAGAAGAAAGGAATTAGGGAGAGTAAGAAATCTGGACAGGAATGTTTCGATCCATCAAGTCGCACGCATTCTTTTTCAGGACTGCAATCGAGCGTCGCCACTACACCGGTTACGATGTAGTACAAACATAGAAAAAAGCAAAAAGAGGGAAAAATGAATGCGAGAAAAAGAAAGGCGAGAGAATATTCAAAGAAAAAAAAA